CTCGGCCCCAGCCAGTGCTTTAACCACTCAGCCCGCTCCCCCCAGTCTGGTGTGAATATACGGATATTGTGAATCTTTCTATATGAGGGAGAGAGAGAGAGAGGGAGAGAGAGAGAGAGAGAGAGAGAGAGAGAGAGAGAGAGAGAGAGATTCTAATAAACTACTGATCTGTCTGTGCTAGTGCTCATAGACTGTTTCTAAGACTTTCTGCTTCTAGCAGCCTTATTGTACCCACATTACTTTATTATAGTTCAGGTTTGATTTGTTTGCTTCTTTGTTTCGGCAGGGTCTCACTGTGTAGCTCAGGCTAGCCTCCAACTTTTGATCTTCCTGCTTCTGGAGTGCTGGATTTACAGGTGTGTACCACCACTGTGCCCAGCCTACTTGGGATCTTTTTTAAATTTCTCCTTTCTCTTATGGTACTTGGGATTGGATAAAGGCTGCTCATTCTAGGCAAGTCTTCTACATCACTAGGCTCTATGTATCTCTAGGCTCTTTTTACTTTTTTTTTTTGAGATAGAGTCTCACTAAGTTGCATAGGTTGGCTTCTTAGTAGCTGGGATTACAGACATGTACCAGCAGGCTCCATTTGCGGTTTGCTTTTGTGCTCCTCCTCCTCTTCCTCTTCTTCCTCCTCTTCTCCCCTCCCCTTCCTCTTCCTTCTCCTCTGTCTCCTCGTCCTCTCATTCTTTTTTTGTTTCAGTACTGGCAATTGAATCCATGATCTCATGCAGGCTGGGCAAGAATTCTTCCACAAAGCTATATCCCAGCCTTTTGCTTATATTATTTTGAGGCCAAATTCTTAGCGGTAAACTTCTAGGGTGTGAGCAAAACCTGTACAAAGAGGAAAGATGGATTCTGATAATTTACCTGACAAGAACAATTCTGAGACCCAACTTGGGAAAGCTCAGCACTTGTGATATTTAAATGCTGAGCCAATAAAGTCACCCATGTAAGAAATCCCAGAGAGAGCCTGTTAGACCTGGCCTGTTGAGTAGTTTGTAGCCTGTGGTTTCTTGAAGTTTCTAGTTGACCTTTGGAAGTCCTCTCAGTGAGTCACTTTTGATGAGCATTGATGAACAGGTAATCTCATGGGCAGGAGGACAGTATTTGTTAAGTGAGCCAGAATGACAGCCCCCTCTGCGTGGGTCAGCTCAGACCCCATGCTGGAACAGGCACCCCTACCCTTTCACTCTTTTCTACCTCACACACTCATCTTAGTTACTTCCAGCAGTGCTTTGCCAGGATCTCTCTGGACTCCCCTCAACTCCCCAGCCCTGCAATCTATGTGAGAGAATTCAGATGAGCCAGTAAGGAAACTGGTAACACTTACTGCAGGGTACAGGAGCGTTCCCTCTCAAGGGGTGAGAGAGGACAGCGACCTGAAAGACAATCGTGCAGACCTACATTTTAGGCAGGGCTTTATATTATTTCTAAAGCCTGTAAAATAGACACTTTCTTGGAGGGCAGTTTTTCTGTCCAGATTGACAGGTCCATCTGGATGGACAAAGTATGTCTCTGTTTCCTGCAAAGCCTTGAGATAACTAGTACTCTCATGATCTTCCAGGCAGTTCAGAATGTCAGGTTTCCATTCAGGCCAGGAATGCTACTCATGTTCTATTCAGGCTCCTGTGGTTTCAGCTCTTGGTTTTAGGAGCTGCTGCTGCTGATCATGAGAAAAGTGTCCATCCCTGATGTTCCAGGCCCTGCTGATGTCTAAGGGTCTGGGCTACCTAGAGAGGCCTGACCTGTTCTTCCCCTGCTCTGCCCACTCTTAAGACTTCAAGTCCCCTGAACTTCTGGCTAGTGGATGATAAACAGGGCCCTCACTCTGTCATCACTCTCTGGGGCTGCCTGTTATCGAAATTTCCCAGTACTGAAGATCTTGGCTTTGATGATGGAAGTGAACAGTATTTTCCAGTGGTTAAAATTTAAAGCATATTAATTAAAAAAAATAGTCCTAATGACTGTAGCTTGCACATGCCTTATTTAATCTCACACTTTTTTTTCAACACTAATTTATTTGTGTGTGTATAGGTGTGTGAGCATGTGTGTGTGGAGGTCGGAGGATAACTTTGTTGAGTCATTTCTCTCCTTCTACCATGTGGTCCTGGGGTTGTACTCAGGTCGCCAGGCTTGGTAGCAAGCCCCTTTACTTGCTGAGTCATCTAGGCAGCCCTCGACGGGCGTTTTTGTTTTGTTTTGTATTGTTTGTTTTGAGAGGTCTCCCTGTGCCCCAGCTGGCCTGGAACTCACTGTGTACACCAAGCTAACCTCAATCTCACAGAGATCCACCTACTTCTGCCTCTTGAGTGCTGGGATTAAAGGCATGAGTCATCATGAATGTTTATCTCAGTGAGGGTTTTTAATAGAGATGCTTGATGCCTTGGGAGAGCTGAGCTGGGACTGGGGATGTGGCTTGGTCTGTCACATACTTATCTAGCATGCACAAAGCCCTGGTTTCCATCCCCAGCACTGAGTAAACCTGGTGTGGTAGTGTACACTTAACCCCTGCACTTGGGAATTGGAAGCAGAAGGATCCAGAGTTCAAGATCATCCTCAGCTATATAGCAAGCTTAAGTCCAGCCTGGGCTATGAGACTCTGATTCAAAAAAACACACTGGGCTGGTAAGATGGCTCAGTAGGTAAAGGTGGTTTTTGATGAAAGTCTGACCATCTGAGTTTAACCTCCAGAACCCACATAAAGGTGCCGGGAGAGAACCTACTCCACAAAGTTATCCTCTGGTCTTCACATTGGAGCTGTGGCACATGCACCCTCCCCCCCATAAATAAATAAATAAAATAAACTGACAACATGCCTGTAATCGCAGCCCTGAGACTGCTGAGGCAAGAGAATTGAGAGCTCCAGGTCATCCTGGGTTACATAGCCCTGTTGTAGAACAAATAAGCAGGTGGCAAACCAGCCCCACAATCCCTGTGCTCTGGGAATGACAGCTTTTAATTTCTGCCTGGGGACTGGTCATCAGGGGATACCACCAAGTTCAACTCTGTCCCCACTTGTCATGTTTCATAGGTCATGGCATTCCTTTTGGTATCATCTTTGGTGGAACTGATTTAAATGAAGATGCCAATCACAGAGAAAAAAATGAAGTTATGGGGAAAGTTCTGGAGGAAGCCAGGTAAGACCTGTGGGAATTCTCCTTTGGGAGGCTTCGGTCTCACCATGGGAAATCAATGTCTTGCCATCTTTGTATTCATTTGGCACACATAGTAACATGGCCCTCAAAGCATTTTTATTTTGCTGAAAACCCTCATGGTGAATAAGTTGTTGGACCCAACCTACTGATAACATTGCATAACTATTCTCAGATGGTTCTGTGTGGCAGAAAGCAGGGCTAGTATTTTCTTTTCTTTTGTTTGTTTTGTGTGTGAGTTTTGACAGGGTCTTACATAGCCCAGGCTAGCCTTGACCTCTGTAGGTAGCTGAGGATAACCTTGAACTCTCTTCTTCCTGCTTCTACTTCCCCAGTGTTGGGGTTGCAGGTGTGCACCACCATGCAGAGCTAAGTAGTTGTTTTCTAAGAGCAACACAGGCATGTGCTATGTTAGCAGTCCCTAAGGTCTTGCTGATGTGACCTTCATCCTCCTGTTTTGGGCATGGCTCTTGTCTGTGTTACTTTCTGAGGTCTGTAAACCATTTGGAAGCGTAGTCACCAGCTGCTTCTGAACTGTGGCTCAGTCCTTCGTTTATAAGTTATGTGCCACTCCCAGCTATCTAGAACTGGAGTACCTGCGTGGGTGCAACTGTTTGCTGCAGGTGCTGCTTCTCCAAGATGACTGTCAGCTTCTAGGACAGCACAGTAATTCTGTGAGATATGGTGCAAACCCGGCTCCAGACACTCGCCGTGACTAGCACCTTCAAGGAACTACAACAACACAGACTGAGGGCTCCACACTTTTCTGAACACTGGGGTGGGGTGGTCATAACTCCCATCCCAGAATCACTTCCAGAGCTGTGCTCCCCACTCTTTACCTGTTAAAATTCCCTGGAGGCCAATGTTTTGAGCCAGTCTCCTGCACCAGGCCCCAGGCACAGTCACACCAGAATGGAGTCACTGCTATAAGTGCCACATCACTGAGTGGGATGTTGACACCCATAACTTTTCCAAAGACAGATTCCAGTCACCTGAGTCCACAGGATGAGTAAGTCCCCCATGTGAACTCTATAAAGAGTGACTAAATGACAGGGTCTGTGGGTCTGGGCTTTGGGCTCTGTCTCTGCTCCCACTGCCTAACTGGAAAGGTGCCCTTGAGGCTCAGGTCCCAGGACACACAATTTATTTTATAGACCAACATGTGGCCTGACATGACAGTCTACTGAAAAAAACAAACCAAAATAAAACAAAACAAAAACAACAACAAAACCAATGTCCATTAAGATTTTAAAGTTACTGCTGGAGCTATAGCTGAGTTGGTAGAGTGCTTGCCTAGCATGTATGAAGCCTTGGGTTGGATCCCCAGCACTGCATAGACTGGGTGTGATGGTACATACCTGTAATCCCAGCACTTGAGAGGTGGAGGCAGGAAGATCAGAAGGTCAAGCTCAAGGTCATCTTTGGCTACATAGTGAGATGGAGACTAGCCTGGGCTATTAGACCTTGTGACCAAACCAAACAAAACAAAACAAAAAAACCCCACAAAGAATAAACAAAACAAAATAAAGACCAGGGTTATGGTGGTATGCATCAAGTTTCAGTACCTCAGTTCTTCCTGACAGCATCCCTAAACTAAGGAAATGCAACTCTTAAAAATGGAGACCATGTATGTACATGCACATGTGTACAGTAGGATTAACAGGCATGGAAACATTTGGGTTGCTGTGAAAGGTGATCCATCAGGGGCTGGAGAGATGGCTCAGGGGTTAAGAGCACTTGCTGCTCTTGCAGAGGATTCCTATTTTGTTCTCAGCACCTGCATGGCAGCTCTTGATAGTCTGTAACTCTTGTTCCAGGGGATCTGATGCCCTGCTCTGGCCACCAGGGAAACCAGGCACACACATGGTGCACTTAACATACGTGCAGGCAAAACACTCATGCACATAAAAATAAATAAATCTTTAATGTTCTTGCTGTTCTTTCAGAGGACCTGAGTTTGGTTCCCAGCACCCATATTAGTCAGCTCACAACTGCCACAATTGCCTGTAACTCCAGCTCCAGGGTATCCAACACCCTCTTCTAGCTTCTGTGGGCCCTTACACTCACATGGTTTACATACCTAGAGAGACATAGCACATACACATAGATAAAAATTAAAAATGGAAAAAACAAAGGTGATCTATCAGTGCAGGTTTCCTTATTGTTTTCACATTCTAAAAACTTATTACATTTCTATTCATGTGGTTTTAACTCCACAGCTGTGTAGAAGGACAATAATTCTGTTTACTGGAAACAGTATTGAATGAATCCATCTTACAGCATTATCATTAGGGTTATTTATTGCATTGTTATTAAAACAAATATTGACTTTTATTTGGAGGGTATTGATTAAAGCCAGTGGGCAAGAGAGCTGCATGAATCATAGATTTTTTGTCTGATACAACATGGCACAGTTTCCTATAAACAAGGTATTGAACTTGTCTTGCTTTATAATGAGCATTTCATTTTTCATCAAGTATTTTTAAAATTGGTATATTTTTCATTATGGTATTATTTGAACTTTTTCAGCATTTTCAAACTTTTATACTATGTAGTATAATATTAAATTTTAATTTTGTATTATATTTTCAGCTTCTAAGTATTATGAAATAATAAGCATTGGTAATTATATAATAAATATCAAAATTAAATAAAGTATATCTAAGAATTGAGAGTGTTCTGTTTCTAGGTGCATTCTGGAAGAAAACACTGTATTTGTTGTTATTGCTTATTTGTTATTACATTTTTTCATTACATTTATTTTGTGTGTGTGTGTGTGTATGTGTGTGTGTGTGTGTGCATTCAAGTGCTATGACATGCATGCGGTCGTGGAACACCTCACCTACCATTACATATACAAAATAAATCAATGTAAAATAAGTGAATAGATTCAAAACACTTTGGGAACTGATTCAGTAGCCGAGAGTATAGCTGAGGAAAAGTCAGGGGTTGAACACGTGTGTGTACAGTGGTAGCCAGAGGTCGATCTTGGGTGTTATTCCTCAGGAGCCATCCACCTATTTTTGGAGACAGGGTCTCCACTGGGACATTTGGCTCACTGGTTAGGCCACTCTGGTTAAGCATCAAGCCCTAAGGATCTGCCTGCCTCTGCTTCCCCAAGTACACACCACCACACCTGACTTTATACGTGGGTTCTGGGGATCTAAACTCAGGTTCTCATGCTTGTGTGGGAAGCATTTTATTAACTGAACCCTCTCCCAGGCCCCAGGAGTTCGGCATTTTTTTAGGAGGCAAGAGGAGGTCCACAGTGAGACACACGGGTTAGCACAATGGGCAGGAACACATTTCTATAACAGTGCAGAGGTGTCTCGAGGAGGAGGAAGAGACTACTGTGTTTCATGCCAGGGACAGGGCAAATGTGACAAAGAATGAGGAGGAACCATTGAACAGGTCCCCCCCCCCTTGGAGGTCATCATGACCTTGTAAGTCAAGCTGTCTCTGAGGTCCTCAGTGAGAGCATGTCAGCAGGCCAGAAAGCATCCTGAGCAGTTTAAATGGTCAGACGCTTTTATCTTCAGAATCTATTTTGTGGCTTTTAAAAACTAATTGATTCTGTTCTTTGACAATTTCATAATTTATATAATGTATTCTGGTTACTTTCCCCCACTTCTTTTAGCTCCCTCCTATCACCATCAATGCCTCCCACCTCAGTCTCTACCAGTCACTTTCCTAGATTCATGAATTTTGATTTTGTTGTTTTTGACACAGTTGGTTTTTACCAGGGCTGCCTGTGAAGGCACCTCCCCCTTCCCATGAATCATAGGTTTCAATGCTTAGGAGACCTTTGTAGGCTAAGGCCAGAGATATCTTCACTTACATAGTTCTGTGGACCTCAGAGACATCTTGCCTTACAAGCTCTGTAGACCTCTCAGGCTTTTGCTATTCCGTTTCTTCTGACATCTTTTCCAAAACAAATCTTTCTATTCATTTAACCCTTTCTCTGACTTTGTGAGGTTATATTTGTAGGTGCATTTGAGTCTGGTTCTGACCTGGTGTTTAGTTTCAATCTCCCTTTTTTTTCTCCACTGCCAGAACTGTTTTAATTATTGTACTTTGGATATGTCTGGGTATCTAATGCATCTCACCTCTGAATTCTTCATCAGCATTTTTCAAATGGTAGTTACTCAATGATACACATACTTGCTATCTAACCCTATTAGTTACTTTTCTCATTGCTGTGAGAACACACCGACAAAAGCAACTTGAAGGAAGGATTTGTTGTGGCTCATGGTTTGAGGATATAGTCCATCATGGTGGGGCAGGCGTGGTGGCCGGAGTGTGAGGCAGCTGGTCACATGTGTCCACAGTCAGGAAGCAGAGAGAGAGATGAATGCTGCTGCTCCGCTGTTTTCTCCTTTGTATTCATTCTGGGAGCCCCGCCCATGGGGTGCTGCTGTCCACATTCAGGGTGGGTCTTCCCACCTCAGTTAAACCTCTCAGGAAATGCCCTCACAGACAGGCCTGGAGGTGTGTATCCTGGGTGATTCTAAATCCAGTCAAGCTGATGATCAAGATTAAGGATAACACTAACAGAGATACCAACTCAGAATTTATCAAAATTTTCTGTGTGATTGTTACCAATTGTATGTGTAAATAATCTTTAAAACGATTGTGTCAAGTTGCTTTTTAAAATTTGTATTTATTTATTTATTTATTTATTTATTTATTTATTTATTTATTTATTTATTTATTTTTGAGACAGAGTCTCACTATGTAGCCCCAGCTAACCTGGAACTCATTATGTAAATAAGAGAGCCACTTGCCTCTGGCTCCTGAGTGCTGGGATTAAAGGCATATACCACCATGCTCAGCCCCGTGGGCTTTGTTTAAACTATTTATCATCTAGTTTGGTAAAAAGGAACATCTTCATATTAATTTCCATGCAGGGAGGGTTTATACCATTCTATTAAAATGTAGCTGTCATATGCATATACTTCATCACGAGCATAATTGTTTTTATTATGTTTATTTAGTGTGTGTGTGTGTGTGTGTGTGCACGCACACACGTGCGCGTGCCACCATAGCTTTCATGTGGTGATCAGAGGACAACTTGTAAGAGTCAGTTCTCACCTTTTACCATGTGGATTCTGGGGGATCAAACTCAGCTCATAAGGTTTGACTGAAAGCTCTTTTTCCTGCTGAGCCATCTTGAAAGTCCAGCAAACACAATCTTATATAATGCTCTGCTATTTTCTTAGAACTAGAGCCCTTAGCTTTCCCTTAGTTGTGATGTTATAGGCATTCCCGTGATCATGCAGGCACCCTGTGAAGGTGTGATGCTGTCTTTGGCAGATGTGGGTGCTGTAGGATGCATGACATCCTTTGTCAAGCTCCTACTCTGCGTGACTCACAGCATATTAACTATGTCTTTTATTAACTACATCTTTTGCTTGTCTCCTGCATTTACTTTCCAGCTCTTGATTTTTATCTTTGCCTGTCTAGTGTTACATGAAAGGAACAAAAGAAATAGGGATTTGAGCGGCATCTGGTTTACCTCTTGCGTACATAACTTTTTCCGATGCAGGTGGAAATTAAGCCTAATGGGCAGTGACCAGGAGTAATAAAGATTGATGGCACTTTAGACTGCTATTCTACCAGGTCCCTCATAGGATGCTGGGAAGAGCTGTTTCACAGTTATGTTAATTGAATTCCGGACTAATTGTCTGTTATCTCTATTCATTCACAGGTTTGCTGTGGCTTTCACAGAGTCAATGAAGGACATAGCACAGTTACAGTGGGTATGTGTTCTCACTTCAGTTGGGTTTGAGAACCGAGAAGCAGCCTATTAGACAGTGTCTGATACAGTCCACTTGTGTGTTGGGTTTCTCCAGTACTGATCTTTTTTTTGTTTTTTGGTCTTTTTGAGACAGGGTCTCCCTGTAGCCCTCGCTGGCCTGGAACTCGCTTTGTAGACCAGGCTGGCCTTGAACTCATATCTCAGAGATTCACCTACCTCTGCCTCCCAAGTTCTGGATTAAAGGTATGCACCACTGTACCCAGCTTCAGTACTGATCTTTTAAAATGTGTAGATGTGAGCCAGGCATGGTGGATCACGCCTTTAATCCCAGCACTTGGGAGGCAGAGGCAGGTGAATCTCTGTGAGTTCAAGGCCAGCCTGGTCTACATAGTGAGTTCCAGGCAAGCTGGGGCTACAGGGAGACCATGTCTCAAAAAGACCAAAAAAAAAAAAAAAAAAAAAGTGTAGATGCTCTCAAAAGTTGAGTGATTTCTTTTTATAAAGATTTTATTTAGTTTTATTTTATGTGTGCAAGTGGTTTGCCTGTATGTATGTAAGTGCACCAAGTGAATGCAGTGCCCTTGGAGACCAGAAGAGTGTGCTGGATCTCCTAGAACTGTAGTAACAAGTGGTTGTGAACTGTCCTGTGGGTGCTAGGAACTGAGTTTGGGTCTTCTGCAAGAGCAGCCAGTGTTCCTAACTGCTGAGCTATCTCTCCCACTCCTAAATTTCTGTGATTTTTTTTTTAATGTTATTGAATCATGAAATCAACCCAATAGCCAAGTCCTTTAATGCTTTGTCTGATTTATTTTTATGTTCTCAGATCAGAGGCTTATGGGCCACCCTGTAAATGCCCAGGGGTGGCAGAAGGAACTTCCTGGGCTGAACTATTTAAGAACTGTAAGCAGTGAAGGCTCAGGGGATCTGCAAGTGACCCCACTTAAGGACTTTAAAAGTTTTATTCCATTTATTTATTTGTATGTGTGGGGGTGAGTGCCATGGTATGCATGTGGAGGTCAGAGGACAACTTAGGAGTCCACTTTCTCCTTCCACCATGTGAATTCCAGTTGTCAGGCTTGGTGACAAATGCCTTTACCCACTGAATCACCTCACTGGCCCCCACTTACTGACTGATGTTGGCACGTGGAATGAGCTGGGGGAGACCAATGGGGTCCTAGTAGGTTTTGGAAGACATTCAAGGGCAGAACTAAGGAAAATATCAAGGTCTGGACCTTCCAGTGGCCAGGCCTATATCCCCAGTGCTGGGGGCCTGGGCTCTGCCTGCTCCTTGATTGAGCACTGTGCCTATGCCCTCGTCAACTCAGCACAAGTCTGATGGGAGGATTTACAGGTCAGAATTCTGATTTGAAAATGTACTACATTGGGACCAGCACAAGACACAGCTGTGGCTGGGCCTCAGTCTCTTCCTGCAGTTCAAGACTGTAGATGCCTGTGAATGAAGGCATCACCAGGGCCAGGTTGTTTCATTTTTTACATACTTCCAGACAGAGAACCGAGGTGGTTTCTTTTTTTTCCTTTTATATTTTATTTTTTATTATGTGTATAATATGATAGATAAAAAGTAGTCTATGGAGGAATCGGGTTGATCAGGAGAAAGCACCAGGACACTGATAAAATTCCATTGGAATAGGGTTTATTAGCAAAGGAACACATGGGACAGATTCCCTTCCAGGAAGGGAAAGTTTCTGCCCAGGTGGTGAGCTGGGCTGGGGTCTTTTTAAAGGGGGAGGCTTCTGCTTCCTGCAGAAGGGGGGAAGATGTATTTTTTTTTAAAGTTGGGGGTGGGTGGGAGAGCAGAGCGGGACTATTAAAACCTGTCCTCTTTAGAGATCAAAGGGGAAGCCTGCTGTGTTGGCCAAACAGTGGAGAAAAGTCTGCTTCTCTTGACTTCAAAGACCAGGGCGCTTATCAGCTAGGTTCCCTTTTCTCAGGAGCTTGAGAAGTCCTTGAGACACTGTTGGTGAGGGGGCGGGGCTATCTGAACCTTAACATAATATGTGTGTGTCTCTGCGTGTATGTACAGTGCCTGCAGAAGCCAGTGTGTTCCCTGGAGGTGGAGTTACAGGTGACTATGAGCCACATGATGTGGGTGCTGGAAAATGAACTTGCATCTTCTGCAGTGGCATTATGCGCTCTTAACTGCTGAGCCTTCTCTCCAGGCCCCTTATTCTATTTTATTTAAACATTTGGCAGTGCTAGGGTCTCAATGCATCCTAGGCAAGCCTTTTGCCACTAAGCTACAGCCCCAGCCCCAGTCCTCTCTCTTATTAATTTTATTTTGAGATAGAGGCTCAGTAAGTTGCCCAGGCTGGCCTTGAACTCATAAGCCTCCTGCCTCAGCCTCTAGAGTAGTTGGGATCACAGGCATGCACAAACCCCCAGGCTGGTCTGGTGGCCAAATTCCTAATACATTTTAATGAATTATCATCCTCAGAATTAACATACAGGTGCATCCCTGTAACCTGAGGAAGTTAGGATGGAGAGTTCAAGGCCAGTCTGGGCTACATATGGAGATTCTGTTTCAAATGAAAACAAAGAATAAGAAGAAAAGGAAGAATAACAGTGAGTTTCCTGGCTTCTACCTTTCCCCAGTACCTGCTTGACCCTCTCTTCTTTCATCCTAAACTAGTCATCCAAACCAGTGGTTCTCAGGGTTGGGTCCACAGACCTGTAAGGCCCCAGAAATTCTTTCAGGGTCCTAAAGAAACCAAAATCACTTCATAATAATGTTAGGGCATAATGTACCCTGTCTTCTGTGTGGGCAGCAATGATGAGCGAAAACCCCAAGGTCTCAGCTCTAGGCAAGGGGATGACACCAGTACTTGATGACCTCACTTGTTCCTATTCATTACACTGCACCAGCTGTGTGTGGAAATGCCCTTCATCAAGCACGGCAGATCACAGGATTTTCAAATCTAATGTGTTTTTTGTAAGATTTTTATTTATGTGTATGCATCTGTGAGTGTATGCTACATGAGGCAGGTGCCCTCAGAGGCCAGCTCCTCTAGAGCTGGAGTTACAGATGGTTGTGAGCTGCCCAATGTGGGTGCTAGGAACTGAACCCAGGTCTTCGGCAAGAGCAGCAAGTGCTCGTAATCACCGAGCCATCTCTCCAGTCCCTTAATACATGTTTTGTAATGTTCTCTGTGGAAACATTACTTTGTTCTTGTGCAAAGCACTTCTGTGCTTATTTTAAAAAGTATTGTGGCTATCTCCAGGGTATCCTGGTGTGATGTTTGAGTTACACGCTGGCCAAGCCCCATTTTCTGTGGTTATTTTGATATATGACTTCACTATATAGTTTTGACTGGCCTCAAACTTAAGCAGTTCTCCTGCCTCTGCCTCCTGAATGCTTGTATTACAGGTGTGTGCACTCTGCCCAGCTTGAAATATGTGTAAACCCTTGAATTTTTTTTTTTCCTGTCTTGGGGATTGAACTTAGGGCTTTGCAAATAATATTTATTCTACACAGAGCTGTATCCTCAACCTTCAACAAGGCACTTTTTTTTAAAGGAAATCTTCAGGTAGAGGAGTCTGGCCTTAAACTTCCGATTCTTCTGCCTCCACTCCCAAGGGCTGGGATTCCAGGTGTGCAAAACAAGCCCTGCCCCTTTTAATTCTGTTTTTCATCTTGAAGGTAAAGTGACAGACCCTTTGCTTGTTCAGCTGTGGGCATTTGACATTTTCTTAAAAGTCTGTGGAGGGTGGTGAGATGGCTCAGCAGGTAGAGATTCTAAGCCTGACAAACTATGTTCAGTCCCCAGGACCCACATGGTAGAAAGGGAGAACTGATGCCCCTAGGTTGTCCTCTGACTGCCAGCTTGTGCCCTGGCAAGTGTACCCCCCTAATTAAAAAATATAATAAAGGTGGGCATGGTGGCGCATGCCTGAAGTCTCAGCACTTGGGAGGCGGAGGCAGGCGATCTCTGTGAGGCCTGCCTGGTCTACATAGTGAGTTCCAGTACAGCTGGGGCTACAGGGAGACCCTGTCTCAAAAAGACCCCCCCCAAAAAGTATAAAAAATGTAATAATATTAAAAAAAAAAACAAAACAATGGATAGTGCGGGTGCTTCAAGAAGGTAACTCATAGTTTTGAGTACTCATGACAAATTTTAATTTTGAAACAAAAATGAGGAATTTTAGAAAGCTATGGTGCAATGACTTTGTTAACAAAAGGCAGAGTGTTATGGATTGTGAGCCCAACATGGGTTCTCAAACTGCCCTGGGTCAGCCAGCTCTGCATTCTTGAGTCATCTTTCAAGTATAGAAAAGAGGCATTTGTAAAAACATCAAAGGACTGGAGGGATGGCTCAGCCATTAAGAATGTTTGCTGCTCATGCACAGGGCCTGAATTCAGTTCTCAGCAACCATGTTGGGTGGTTCACTGCCTGTAACTCTAGCTCCAGGGGAGCCAACATTCCATTCTGGCCTCTTGTAGGCACCTACATGTACATGCACACATACACATACACACACACATACACACACATACCCCAACACCCATACAGACACCTGCACTTACACATAAGCACACACATATACCTGTAATTAAAAGTAAGGTACATCATTAAATTTTTTAAAAATAAAATAATAATAAATCTTTAAATAAAAAAGAGAAAACACCAAGAAGGCAGCCAAGATGACTTGGTGCTGGATGAAGATGAAGAGAGCTCCATGGTAAACCTCATAAAATAATAGATTAACTTGTTTTTGTAGCTTAAAGGAATGGGGGGATGGGGGGCAGTTATTAAATTTGAAAGTAAGGTTGTTTTTAATACATGTTTTTGTACTGTTTTGGTGGGTGGATTTTCCAATAAACTTCAGCTCAATACCTTTATTTGATTAGATTTTTTCAAATAAAACTATGTATAAATAATATAAAAGTATATTATTCAGCTGTATTTATGGAATTGTGTCAGATGGATTTTTGAAGAGAGACTGTTTTTATTCAATATTGTGAATGGTGATAACTTTTTTTTT